TCAACTTCAATGATAAACTTCTTTAACAGTTCTTGAAATATGTTAATTTACTTATTAATTTTTTCCATTTAATTTTTTTAAGTCATGGTACAAAATATCAGCCAAGTTGGTTATCAAAATGTGATTCACTTGATTCATTCAATGCAAAGATGTAGTGTAAAACCAAGTGACAGTTCTCCTTGCACTTTTACCCTTCTGCTTGGATGAACATTGGATGAGGAACAAACTCTCTCCTGGTATTGTTAATTAAAATAAAAAATTACAAACCCAACATCCAGGAATTAGCAAGTGCCAGGTACTGTGCTAGGTGAACACCTTACAGGGTTCGTCACTCCACTGCTTAAAATCTTCCAATGGTTTCTTCACCGTCAGAGAATAAAACAGACTTTTAACATGCTCTGTGTTGCTGGATAATCGCCAGCCTCATGGCCACTCCATCCTTCTTGGACCACAGTAGATAGAACGGCTACCCCACTATCTCTTAGCTTGTTGAGTTGACTGTGTGACATTATCTGGTATATATATATGGGTTTTGTTTTTTCCTATTCCTGCTCCATTTCCCCATTTCTTCACTCCTGTTAGAGGATAATACCATGAGGGCAGGAAACTTGAATATATTGATTTTCACTGTATCCACAGTGTATAAGACAGTGCTTGAATATCATTATTGTTCAATAAGTATTATTTGAATGGATGACTGCTATCTCTCAAAGTAACCTTTTAAGATAGGTATGATGTTTTTTAACACATGAGAAATGTTTGCCCTGAAATCTACTAAGCTAATTAGGTGAGGCTCTAGAGTTTAGAATTCATTTAATATGAATGAATGGTATATTTTCCACCATTCTCATTTGATCAGTGGAAATACTTAAATAATTCTGGGTGAAGTCATTTTGAAAGTAGCACAAACTTGGCAAATTTACTAAACCTCATGCAGTACATTTAGGAAATCTGTTCTCAAAAATAAAATGTTTCTTTTAATAAATTAAAAAACAGTACTCATTTATTCTTGCTATATTTAAAAACATAGGCAAAAATGAGATGAAACAGTGGTTGTTATTTTTATTGCTACTATTATTTTTCCCATCTCTTTAAAATTCACCCCTGAAATTATTTCGAAAATAGCACCCTACTAAAATTGTTTTAGCTTGTATAGATATTCCTTTGTAAAATGTTAAAGACAACAACAAAAAACAGGTGTTAGATATAAAATGTTTGTCATAAGTTTATTTCTGAACCATCTTTATTAAGATCAAGCTTAATAATCTGCTGTAGAGAGAAATTTCCTTTGTATTTTATTAGCAAAGTATTAAATATGGTTTGTTATACTTTCTAAACTTTGTCTATGATAAATCAAAATGCATGTCTGATTAACTGTTATATATTTCTTTATGAAGCTACCTTTGTTTTTCTCATGAGAATTACAGCTAAAGAAAAAAAAATTACCTTAAAGAAACTACTCCATCTGGTGTTATTTATATGCACTTTTCACTTCTTCGTTTCTAGCATAAACCTGTCAATTTTACACATGTACACAATGCAATAGTTACTTTTATTAAAACTAACTCTCAACATTGAGATATAAAGTTTTATAATTTCTTAGAATGAAATGCAAAGTAGAAGGAATTTAGCATGGACAGAAATAGAATGAATAAGTATGAGTTACTATTCATGGTCTCTGGTGAGACATCAGCAAGTTCATCACAGATAAGGACTTGGATGAATGACTTAAATTTTTACCTAATTTCTACTTGGGGAAGGCGATGGAAGATAGAAGAGGGAGGATTTGTAAGAGGTTTCTGAAATGTCCTTGGCAAAGATAAAGAGATATTTGGAGCTTTCCCCTGAAGTTAGGATGTAATAAGAATAAGTAGGTTTCTGTTTAGAATATGGGGCTGATCAAGTCTTAGGAACCGAACAAGGAGATTCAAGTGGTTTCTATTTTTTTAAAGAAGAAAAAGTAGCTGATTAGAGTCCCGTAGAACAACTTTTCTGGATATTTCAACACAGAGAGTAGCAACAGCTTCCTTCTGTGAGCTTACTAGTATCTAGTATGTCTGCAGGTGAGCAGATAACTGGTCAGTTTGATAAGCCAAGAAAAAATCACAACATGCTTGAAATGATAGTTTGAATGAATTCATGAATATGAAAATACTCTGCAAATTGTAAAGCACCATACAAATGAAACGTAGTTTTTGTTAGTATTGAGTTATAATCTTTTTAAATGTTTTATTTTGAAATTTGTTTTGCATGTTTTCATATTTAAGATGTGTATTTTTTATGTGTGTTTCAGATAATCACAAGGACTGTTCTGGTGTGTCCTTACATCTCACACGCCTGCCGTAAGTACTTCCAGTTGTCTTAGCTGAGTGACAGCTTTTGAGATCTTTGAGAACATGAAAGGGGGAAATCCACTGTGTTTGTTATCTGTTGTCTAACAAATTACCCTCAATTTAGTGGCTTAAACCAACAATTACTTATTGTTTCCTGTGGGTCAGGAATCTGGGCACATCTTAATTGTGGCTGGTGGTCTCACTCTTGGTTGGTATATCACTCATCTGGGGGCTGGACAGGGGGGAGCCACTTCCAAAATCACTCACTGGGCTGTTAAAGGATTCAGTTCTTCTCTGGCTGTTGGCTAGAGGACTCCCTCATTTCCTTGCGATGTTGACTCTAAACAGGGCAACTCACAACATGGCAGCTGGCTTCCATCACAGCCAGCAAGGGAGAAAGCAAGGTGGCAGGCAGAGTGTTTTTTATAGCCTAATCTCATAAGTTACTAAATAACAAATGTCTGGTAGGTAAAGAAAATAGTTGGCCACAAATCTTCATAGTCTGACTCCTGTGGAAAAAAAAAAAAACCACCCCAGCCACTTTTGCCATATTCTGTTAGAAGGGCATGAATGAAAGCTAGGAATCATAGGGAGGTATCTTAGTCAGTGTTTTCCAGGAAAAATGAACCAAAAGAATGGTGTTTTTTTTAATGTATCTTTATTGTTAAAAGTATTACAAATGCCCCCCTTTTTCCCCATTGACCCCCATACCCACCCACCCCCAGGCCTTCACCACACTGTTATCTGTGTCGATGGGTTATGCATATATGCTTACAAGTTCTTTACATACACATGAGAGAGATTGAGATTGATGTACTTTAAGGAACTTAGTTCACACAATTTTGGGAACTGGCAAGTCTGAAATCTGAAAGGCTGTCTGGCAGGCTGGAAATTCTGGCAAGAATCAGTTTTGCCACCTTGGGTTCAAAGGCTGTCCGGAGGAGGTAGAAATCCTTCTTTTCATGGGACCTCAATCTCTTCTCTTAAGAGACCTACCCACATTGTGGACAGTAATCTGCTTTACTCGTCGTCAATGATTTAAATATTAACATATCTAGAAGTACCTTCACAGCAACATCCAAACTAGTATTTGACCAAACAACTGGTCACTAAACCTAGCCACGTTGACACAATGAGCCATCACAGGAGCCATTTAAATGCTGCCCTCCACATTCACCATGCCATAAATATGTATATTAAGCTATTTGCCAAAAAAATATGTTATTTTTCAGAAAAGTTCTACCTTTTTAAAATATTATCTTGTTTTAATTTTCACATGAATGATATTCTGTAGACCAATAGATTGCAGTGTACATTATTTTTCCAAGGCAATAGTTTTGACTTTTCAAATAGATGAAATAAATATTACTGTTTTCTGCAGACAGCCCTTAATTGCTGGCATGTACCTTATGATGTCTGTTGACACTGTTATACCAGCGGGAGAGAAAGGTGAGTAATGGCTTTTTAGTATTTACTATTACCTCATTACCTAATCTATAGGAGTGGATTTAGTGTATAGTTTTTATAAACTTTTGAAATGACCAATATTTTTAAGTTCCTGAAAAATAAATCTATTCTTTATTATCCTTGGATTGAAAATAGATTTTTACATTATTTTTAACACAGTAGTTTATTATTTTCTATTATTTTATTGAGATGTTCAGCATTGAGGCCCTGGGTAGGTAATGGGTTATATAAATTAAAGAATAAATCTTGAATACTAGTATTTTAGAAATCAATCACCTATTTTTTAGATGCCAAACATTAATTTCATAAAATACTGCATAATAAACTACTGAAGAAACTAGCAAGCTTTTTTTTTTTTTTTGCTTTGGAAAGTGCTTTATTTATTATTATTTAATTAATTCATTCCAAGTGACTCTACTCATATCAGGAAAGTTAAAGTTAAAAGCTGCTCCTAAGAAAACCCTATCCAAGTTCATTGAACTTAGATATATTGGGTTTATTTTCCCAAATAATAAATGTCTGGTAGTTAAAGAAAATAGTTGGCCACAAATCTTCATAGTCTGACTCCTGTGGAAAAAAAAAAAAACCACCGAAATCACTTTTGCCATATTCTGTTAGAAATAACGAATTACTGGGTTCAGTTACTAGGTCAACCTAAACTCAAGGGAAGAGGATTAGACAAGGGCATGAATATGAAAGCTAGGAATCATAGGGAGGTATCTTAGTCAGTGTTTTCCAGGAAAAATGAACCAAAAGAATGGTGTTTTTTTTAATGTATCTTTATTGTTAAAAGTATTACAAATGCCCCCCTTTTTCCCCATTGACCCCCATACCCACCCACCCCCAGGCCTTCACCACACTGTTATCTGTGTTCATGGGTTATATATGAACTTATATATGCATTCAAGTCCCCTAGTTCATCTCTTCCCACCCAACCCCTGACCCTTGACCCCCACCTTCCCTCTGAGATTTCGCACTCTGTTCCCTGCTTCCGTGTCTCTGGATCTATTTTGTCCACCAGTTTATTTTGTTCATTAGATTCCACATATGAGTGAGATCATGTGATACTTGTCTTTCTCTGGCTGATTTCGCTTAGCATCA